CCCTAAAGGACAGTTCTTAAGGTACTTGGAGAAGAGAGGGACTGAGGGTTGACTCGAGGTCATCTAGGGAGCTGTAGTTTTGGGAAATTCCTCTGGAGCACAGCATTCTCACTCCCTCGACGAACTACACATCCCAGGATCCCAGAAGATGGAGCCATGATAGTTCAAGGGGCATCAAAGTGCTACAGTGGTGAAGTGTGGACCCATCCTGGGTCACCCTTGAGCTCCAGGTTCAGGAAAATCAAGAAGAAAAGTTCGCTCCAAACCATTCCTATTTATTATTATTATTATTATTATTATTATTATTATTATTATTCAGTCGGAGACCGCTTTCAATGCCCTGACTCAATGGTAGGGGATTCTGGGAACTACTTTTGTGAGACATGGAGCCTTCTCTGTCAGAGAGCTCTGGGGCCCCAATCAACTACAATTCCCAGGATTCCTCAGCACTCAGCCAGAGCAGTGAAAGCGGTCTCAAACTGGGCTATTCCTGCAGTGTGTTTTGGGGAGAATCTCCTTTCCCAATCACTTTGCAAACCCCACCAAACATGTCCTGTTTTCATGCCAAGAACTCGGTATTCCTATTCAGGATACTATATTTTCTTTCTTTCCTTTCCTGTTTTTCCCATCTAAAAAAAAAAAAAAAGAATTTAAAAAGTATAAAAGAAATAGTGCCTCCGTTAAAGAAATAAAGGTAGAAAGATCTCTCAGAACGCCAACGAATTTTGTTGCCTTTTCAAAACAAAACAAAACAAAACAAAACAACATGATTTGACATTCCCTCCCCCCCAAAAAAAACACCTCTCTTGAAAAAAATAGTATTTTTCTCCCCTCCAAAACCAGCATTTCAGATTCTAGGGTATTTCAAACTACAACCATCAGGCTTTCAAGTTGGACTGCATTTTTTTTAAATTACATTTTAAATTTTTTAAAAATGCAGTTAATCCAGAAAGGAATCTTAAATATTCCTATGATTAATCGTAACATGAACATCTAATATCATGATTATTAATAGTGCTGGAAAAGTCCAGATCGTCTTAGATGAGGATGAAGATGGAGATGAATTGAGGGGGTGGTTGCTGTTCTTCGATGGAGCTGGGAAAGTCCCAGTGTATAAAGATCCTTTTTTAAAGTCGGTTCAGAACGACTTTTGTGGCCTGGACCTCCTCATCTTTAGCTTGAGCCCCAACCAGAGCAGAATCCTCAAGAAGAAGACCCACGAAGAGGAGGAGCAGGCAAGGGAGCCCTGGGAGGCTTCTCCCTCTTTCCCAGGGCTTTGGGAAATAGGGGCCAAGGCAGGAGGCACCCAGAGAGAGGCTCCTTCTCTGCTCGGCCGCCTTCTCTCCAGCGACTCTCTCTCTCTCTCTCTCTCTCTTTCTCTCTCTCTCGAGGCGAGAGCTTTCCGGAGCTGGCCAGGGTCCTGAAATTGGGACAGGGACAGGGCTCAGGGCTGCTGCATGCGCTGCCTTCCTTCTCTTCTCTTCTCTTCTCTTCTCTTCTCTTCTCTTCTCTT